CTGTTGGCAAAACGAAGCAATAACTAATTCAGTTTAGAGCAATCTAATAACGAGTCTTGTTTAGTGTCTGTTGGCAAAACGAAGCAATAACTAATTCAGTTTAGAGCAATCTAATAACGAGTCTTGTTTAGTGTCGTCAAATAATTGAAATCACATTTCTTCGATGAGTCCAATCGTTATAATGGAGCCTAGTATTTGACTCGTGGTTAATACTTCCACCGCCTCGTCTAATCAGTTCCCCATCGGTTTTTGGATAATCGATAGATCGTCGACTAAAGTATAATACCTGTTCTACTTTATGCATCCCAACGACGTGGTTCGACTGTTCGAAGACTTTCTATGATCCGGAATCACCTCTCACTGGTTCGCTCGCTGGATGATATTGTAACGCCGTGATTTGTGTCGCAGATATTTTGCACGCTCCGCGACATCGATAATTTCACGTTAATTATAGATTCGAGACAAATATGTGCATAATTAGTCACGAGGTCTGTGACTCGCGTAACCAGTTTCAAATCAGCGATATCGAGACATCAGATCCGTATGTCGCATTTGTTTGCGCGCTTTTCGGCGCTGTTTACTTCCTTCAAACGATCGCGATTCGGTATTATCATTCGCGTAATGGGAATGAGTTTTTTTTTTCTTGTGATTAGCGCACAACTGATATTCTTCCAGTTTTATCTTTTCAGAAGCGAATTATTTTTCAAGTGTTTATTTTTGAATAAAATTCTGATTACGCACCCTGCGCAAGGCACGTGATTTAACAAATCTCTAGACGACCTTCCCTCGGAGGTAAAAGAGTCTCGTGTAACGTTTTATAACGAGTCGAAATTCGTCTTCGGAGCGAGTGATTGATTTGTTTCCACGGAGTCGACGTTCTCCTCTCAGAAGACGTAAATATATATTTATATATTCAAGTCCTCTCTTTTAATATATATATATATATATATATATATATATGTTCGTCTAGAGATTTGTTAAACCACGTGCCTTGTGCAGGGTGCGTAATCACAATTTTATTCAAAAATAAACACTTGAAAAATATATATAGTTGCTACTAAGCATACGTAGGGGCCATTGGAAGGTAAAGTGGTCGCTTTGGATCCCCGAGGCCTTGACCTTCGAGTACGCGTACTTGAAACACATAAAGTGTACGCCAGATATAGTCGTGCGTATCATTTGATGAGGAATACATGGCAGATTCGTAGAAGAAGTCGTCAAAACACAATACATTCCATTACGCGCACGGCCTTGGAGCAGCAGGACATGTAATGACTCACCTGGCGAGCGCATGCTTCCAGTCTCCATACAAATAGATAAATAGATACATGGATTCGACGATAGATGAATAGCTGGTCAGATTTGTTGACACGAAACAATATATCGCTCGCGGACGTAGAACAATAACCAGTGTAAAAAAAAAAAGGCTGCGACAACGGCGATAACGACGTAATGATTTAATCTCCCGAGAGAGAACTGCGAAATGATCGACGATGATCGTTGCGAAATCTCCGATCAGATTTCTGAATCTGTTACAGATGGACGTGTGCTTTTTCTTAGCCGCGATAACTCGAGTTTAATTCGATGAATATCATTTTGAAAATCGAGGCACGGATATTTGTAGTACGGTCTGCTCAACGCCAACTTCTTCCGAACCTTCGAATTTTGAAAATGTCGCTAGTCGATTTTGACGACCCTGGGAGGTCCTTGAGCGACACGCCATTACTCGTATCGACCTTTTCTGGATCTAGATCACGCGGATACTATAACTGGGATACGTGTATGTATAATTTACATAACGCTCTCGATCGCATCTCGTAATCTCCAAATCAGGTTCTCAGGCTCTAGTGTTTCGTCCACGTATATACGTTCTGTAAAGTTATCCGACAACTGAATCGTTCCTCTTCTTCCACTCCTTTTGTCTACCTCATACTTTTATCCCTATCTAAGAAAAGTGAAGCGAAGGATAAAGTAAAAAAAAAAAAGCTTGAAAATGCCGTTCCCATTTCTTACCACGCTTATAGCAAAGCTGGAGGCTTGGAACATTATAAAAAAAAAAAATGTTTAAATAATTCATCGAGTCCACGCCTTAATTTATCCCTGCTTCCACCGATAAGGTGTTGAGATTGTACACGTATCGAGAAGATTCATTGAGCTCTGCTATTCAGCATGATTGTTATTGCGTCTGTCTCTGGGTTGTTGACACCGTCACGATGCTGACTGACAATGAGCGTCGCGGTACGATGTATACGTTCAATCTAATTTGCATACGAGATGAACTTAAGTAGAGCGACAGAGGAATGAAACACGATATGGATATTTAAATGAACATCTCGAATCTTGCATCGTGCATTGCACGATTTGCTCTCGTTAAACATTCATCGGTCTCTCTCGATACTTAATAACGGCAAAACGAATAATCGAATTATCATGATCGATGACAATGAAAGCAAGGAACAATTACGAATTTTATTATCGACGTAACGAGTCGGTGGATTTATTTGCTTTGAATCTAATTGTACTTTGATTGAAAAGCGCGATAATCCTTTGTTTGTATTGATTCTGATAGACGATTAGGTGTATTAATTTTTGAATGTCACGATACTTAAACTTCAACGGAATCATACATGGAAGCCGAGTTTGTGGTACTTGTTAATCTAATTCTTTCCACTCGTGCATTATCGGATTAAGATCTGTACTTTGAATTAGCTAAGAGGCCAAAGAGATATTGTTTTTTTCCAGAAATTATTTTCCTATCTTCCACGTGTGCATGCCCTGTTAATTATTCCTCCGACGATAACAGACTTTCCTACTTTAATAACTGCACGTTCGCTGTTAGTACCTTACGAGAAGTAGTTTGCTAAAATCTCTCCTTTCGGTTAGGGGATAGAAGAAGGAAGGTTTAAGAAGAAGCAGTTGGTTTCGATGTATTGCAATATCTTAATTCGTTCTGGAACTTTCCGTGTCGAATTGTATAAATACAATTTATTGCAAGGATAAAGGGAGATTAGCTTCTCGTTAATGATAATAAGGTAAGGGGAACGTGTAGCCAGTGTCGAGAAATTTATATTATATTATGCTTGCAAGAATTGTCGAGAGATTTTTTGTTACGAACATCCGTAAGGTTCGATTTAAGCCACTCCTTAAAGCGTCTGTAAAAAGGGTTTTTACAAAATTGTAAAACTCGGTGTGGTAGGTAAAAAATGGTCTCGTATCCGTTTCATAGTACTTCGTACCTCCATAGTTTGGACTGTTTGGAGTATACAAGGTGCACTAAAAACGTTTCTTGGAAACATGAGCGTTTTGGAGCTGTTAGTTTGACCGAGACTGATGTTCATCCAATTATAGGGCACCGCGCCTAAAACGTTTCGGTCATGCTACCTCCTCTTGCTCCGAAACTTGCCACACCCGTAGCCCCGACAAGTTGTTTAAAAATGGCGTAAAAAGAAAGCGGAATTTGCGTGGGCAAAGTCGAACCAGGTTGTCTCCTATTTCCTGGTGTGACATTACCCGTGAAAATTTCATTTAGAAACAATCGCCGAGAACAAGAAGCTTTACGAAAACGTGAGTTGCGAGTAACTTGACGAACTTGATAACCGAAGCGCTTGATCCGAGGTCGAATATGTTGAATCTTCCTTGTTGATATGTAAGAGCAAGTAAAAAGTTACGGGTCGTGGATGAAACGTGATTCATTTAAATGATAAAAACGTTTAGGCTTTTTGTTGGTTAAATGAATCATCATTCTCCAGGTGTTTTTCATCGTTCCTTTTTGTTTACTTAATTTTCCATATTAATGAGATGTGGATTACGTGTCTCGCGCGTGACACATTTGTGTAACGATTACCGACAAATCCTATTGATCGTCATTTTCAATTATCATATATTTTCATTCATAATTTCCTTTTAGCAACCTTGATATCGGAGCATTGAATGAAAAATAGAAAGCACGAAGTTTTGAAACTTTTCCTTAGATCTCACCGATATTATTTTGTATTTACACGTTTTGGACTAGAGCGCGGTGTACTTAACGCTAATCTGTTTCTCTCTGTATCGTACAATGATTAATGGAGTCAACTTATTAATTTCGTATCATGTATAAACCACACACGACGCACAACCTCAAGTGCCACGTCTTCCAATAGTTGATTCGATTAATCAATCAACGAATTGACACAACATTGACCTGTGTTAATCCCTCGGTTAGACTAGTGGTTACCAACCGTGAATAGTATACGAGCTATTATGTACATTTCATAACTTTTTCCAATACAATTATTGAAGAGAACATAAAGAATGACATTGCCGAAGTTGTATGTAAAAAATATTTTAAAATTCATTAATATCTAATCGGAAGCATGTTTAGCTAGATAACGAATAATAATAACCAATAACGTTCTATTTAGATAAACCTTTGTTTGCGAGGCACGAATTACGCGAATATCGTTTTCATTCGCGGACAACAAAGATATCTGTTACGTATACGCCAGGAACCTTCGATTTCTTTTTATGTATTTTACGATACAGACGTGGATGTGAAAATGGACATAAGTGGATGAAAATGAACAGCGCAAAGTGTAATATGCGTGTTCACGTGAGAACGAGATCTTGTTTGTCGTTTGCATTGTTGGTTACAATTTCCTCGCTAAATTTGCCAGGTTCGCTTTGCAAACGCGAATGTTTACACCTCGTCTACTATAAATATCCATTTATAACCGCGCTGTGGGCTATATCCAAATGCTTTCAACAGTCGAGAATATTAATAACGGAATCTATTATCCAGATGAGAATTTTACCCAATATTTGTTCGATATACGACGCACAATTACTACCAAAGCTGAAAACTCACCGAGGGCAGCTCAAGTAAAGCGATATTTGCTCATCTTAAAAAAGAATAATACCTCTTCGTACTTATCTTTTTATAGCTCGTGTCTAACAATTTGCACACCTCTTTAAACTTTAAATGTCGCGAGGATGTTGATAATACCGTGCTGCGTACCGATTCACGCGACTTGTATATAGCGTGTACACGTCCTCAAATGTTTTAATACTTTGTCGTGTTGCGTTTGTAGTACATACAGCGTATAGATAGTACGGAAAGTAAAACGTCCAGAGTGATTTGTCCGTTGAGTCTGACGAGCATATCGGGTTTCATTGAATTCGCTTTGCGCAATCAGAAATTTAGCGTGCATTAATAATTCTTTACGAGCAACTGTTAAAAGTACGATACTATAAAAGTTGTTCGTTTAATTGCAGCCTTTTCCACAGCCACCGAGGATGTGGGAGATGGAATTCAAGGGCACGATAATGACACGGGTAAGTGAAACCAATTTTAAATTAATACTTTGACGGGATGTTTCGTTAGAATCCCATAATACAGAGTATTTACCTACTTGGGAGTTAATAAAGAGATTTTCAAAAGATGCTTCACGACTAGTATCGATTAACGAAAAGTGTGTCAAAGATTTTCATTCGTGGACCTTTCGAATTGTGGGTGTCATCCTAGTTTGGAATTAGTCACTGTTTAGGTGAGATTGAAGTTGGACTTTGAACCAATTCGGCCCTCGAGACCGCATAGTTATATAGGTAAAAACATGTTTTGAGGATGTAAAAATTCCGATAGCTCGATGGGAAGATACTTTAAGTGCGCAGCGTTCCTCAGACTGAGGTCCACGCAGCTGGTCACCTGTTCAGGTGTGTTTGGAGTCTCTGTGAACTCTCGGATGGAAGTTAACATAGACGATTACGTCAGGATGTTTTTGTGTCGAGAGTACTTCCCAGAAGTAGAAGAAAAAGAACTTATCGAAAGTATAAAGACACAGGAAAATAAATGAATTAAAAGCGAAGAAAATGAACATTTACTTTTAAAATGATAATCTATGCCTTCAAACATCGTAGCAATTAATCTTACTACGCTGATACTACGCGGATTAATTGTTTACTGATACGGTCGTTTAGCCAGAAATCAGCGTTCTTTCGATTCTTTCATTCTCGTCGATCCATCACCTGCCGGTCTTTGAAAGGAAGTCATCGTGCGTCTTATCTGCACCGCGTAAGCAACCAATCGTACTTTGATTTTGTTTCGGATCATATGGACTTTAGATTCTGTGTATAGTATATTTAAAAAAGGGGAATTCCTTGGCCAATAGGGAAGCAACGATCTAATTATCTTAACTCTTTTTACGTAGCTGATAATTTATAACGCGACCAGGAAGAGATTGCGAACGAATTTATCGTATTCTCCTGTTTACATTTTCTTAAATGCCAGGCCAAATATTTTCATCGGCGATTCGCAAAGGAAAATGTTACTATCTATGCAGAAACTACATGATGAAACCACTATGAAAAATACATACATCATTATGATTGCTGTCCCCTTTAGATATCCAGCACGGGTTCAATAAGTCGATTAAAGGAGGAAGTCATTCAGAAAAATAAAGATTTTAGCACGTAAGACACGTAGGCAACTAACCTCAGACAGGAAATAATTCGTGACGTCAGTCAACTGGCCTTGGAAGTAAATGACAATTGATAATTTAGAACTGATTATTGGCCGCATAATTTCAAATAATTATTTATGCAAGATCGGTCGAATAATATTATTAAGTCTGAATAATGTATCCCAGTAATGATTACGCGTTACTCGCGATGCTTATTCGGTTATAGTGGCTTATAGTCGTTAAGTATGTGGCGTATTTGTTCTTCGAAGCACAGATCGGCGATCTTTCTATCGGTGGAGACAAATTTCAAATAACAAACAAAAGATAAGGACGTTGCAGCCCATGGGACCAATGATGCGACATCTGAGCGTCGATGAATGTACTAAATTGTCAATTGTCATCGAACGAGAGCTGTCCGTTATCTCTTACACCGCGATGTACATTGATTTGAATATTATCACTGTTCGAGGCGATAACATTCATGACGTCTAAAGCATACGCGTTTGCTGCCGTATATCAAAAGTAAATATTTGTTTTAATCTTCGCGAGAACTAATTTGGTTTCTCGTTTAAATGCATTCCTATACAGGGTGTCCCAAAAGTCGGGGAGGAGCCGGAAATGGGGGGTAGCTGAGACGATTCTGAACAACAATTTCCTTTGCAAAAATGTCGAACGGGGCTTCGTTAAGGAGATATTAAGGGAAAACCCCGACCAATCAGAGCGCGCGTAGACCGTTGGAGCGGACGCGGTAGCGAAGGCTACGCGCTGGCGGCCGCGCTTGTACGCGAACAAGTGACTCGACGTGCATCGAAGGACATTGACGCAGCCGTCTAGCGCGTAGCCGCTACCGCGGCCGCTCCAACGATCTACGCGCGCTCTGATTGGTCGGGGTTTTCCCTTAATATCTCCTTAACGAAGTCCCATCCGACATTTTTGCAAAGGAAATTGTTGTTTAGAATCGTCTCAGCTATCCCCCACTTCCGGCTTCTTCTCGAATTTTGGGACACCCTGTATATGGATAAGCTAGTCGAATATCCCATTGATTCTGTAAAAGATAGAACAATAGTCTAATAATTTTGTATTCGTTTAGCTTACAATTTACAACGAATCCTGTCTGAGAGGCGCCAAGTCGCGAGCCCCACGTCTCTTAGAACCAGTGATGGGCAAAAAACCCTAGGATTCGAATAAATCTAAAATTTGCCGATATATTTGTCTCGTTTCCTCTTTTGAACATTTTCCAAAGAAGGAAGCGAGACAAATACGTCGGCAAACTTCAGATTTATTCGAAGCCTAGGGTTTTGTCCATCTCTGCTCAGAACACCAAGGCCCAAAAGCGGAGAGGATGACCGCGCCTCTTTTAATCAAAGAATTTGCATGGCTTTTAGACAGGATTCTCAACGACGTGACGAATAACAAATACCGTAAATTACGCGAACGATAAATGACGAATAGTAAGTATCTAATAATTCGAGTAATTATTCCGTATGTGTTCAGGCAGAGGTGTGCGATAATAATATTCAACGCAGGCTTTATCTAGCTAAACGACCGAAGTTAATTATGTAAAATACGTTCCTTCAATGTCATAGCCCGACCTTTCTGTCTCGCTGAACGAGATCTTGGGGTCACGTGATGTGGGGCAGAACTGTGACAGGTGCAATGATTACTGTCGTTGCATTAACGCAATATGGGTTTCTCAGTGGATACGTCACTGGTGGGTGTGTCTATGCAATTTCATGAATTTTATCTCGCAATTATCTTTAAGCTTCCGGGTAGGGTTGTAAGACAACCTATTCTTACTCGCCACTTATCAAAGTCGAGACTACTCCTTCCGAAATGATCGAATAATTTAATCTGCTAACCCTGAAGCAGTGCTGAACACTCTTCGATAGCATCAGGTATAATTTATTGCTGACACGTGACAGACTATACGCGTTTTTCATATTGGATCCGAGACAGAGAAACATGAACAGTAAAGAGTCGGTCCATTACATAATTTCCTGCTTCGTATAATCCTATGATGAGACTTTGATGTCAGTCTTGAGACCTCGTAATAGGTGCACGTCAAGTTTTTACTGTGAAATGAAAGGCAAAATGAAATAAAGTAATAAAAACGCTACGAGGATTTGAGTTTGATCGATTTCTGGAGAAAAATCTCTACCTGTGCTTCGCGTATTGATCGTTGGCTACTTTATCGATGGATCGAGAATCGGTGATCAGTTGACGATTAGACCGTCGTGTCGCCTTATCGTTGATCGTACGTAACGGTCGTGACATTATCGACGTACAAATGAACTTTAAAGGTAAAACAGATTCTAGTACCATATGATAAGTATGTTGTTTGTTATGTACGGTAGATAACAGTAAGAATCGTGTGTGGATAAAACAGTTTTCGATACTAGTACTTTGCCTAAAGACCAACAGAGGTGCGGCGATTCGCTTTGAGAATTAGCTCGTTAATTCAAATTTCAATGAAACACTCTTGCAAGATGAAACAATATTGTATTATTGTATTATTTGAGAAATTCATACGTTTTAATTACTAGCGTATACAAAATTGACACGAATACACACGTGGGAAAGTTTACAGATTATAAAATATGTATATCTCATTCGATTTTTCTAAGTATTAAAGTTAATCTCACGTAGAAAAGTTATATATAGAAAAAAAGAAATACAACCGAAACTGATATTATTACTCTTTAATATTAACCTAAACGAGAACGGTTCAATTGTCAGTTAACCTCTCGCTCAACAGGAGAACCAACGTTACTTTACCGTCAGCTGCTTCCTAAACGTGGTCAGACGGCACGTGATAATCACACCGTGTTGGTGTGTGCTTTGTATCGATGGTTCAAAAATTTTCCTATCGTTCCTTCCTCTCTTCGTTAACTACGATAACACTTTAACCTACCCAATCAGTGCCTGTCTTCAGGTATTTTATTACACGTGGTAGACAGTTTTTAATTAATTCCTGCGAATAAGTAATTAAATAATATTTAGAGGAATATTATTAAAATTTAGGCGAGTAATTGTAAGAAACGACGGAGATAACTAGTATTTCAAGTGCTGTCGCGTTTGATCTAATGTTCATCGAGGAAATATCACTGATCGATCGACGACATAATCTCTCGCGAAGATGCAATGACAAATGTGGGGAATCTGAATTGTCGGTATCGGATGAAATTCTATCCCAGGCGCGATAAGGATCGATTTCGTTCGCAACCAACGACAAGGTTGTTCGCGCTGAATAAACGAAAACAATTGGATGACTCCGTTTCTTGTAATGTCAAGAAAAAAACGACTGTCACATAAACAGGGATTATCGTAGTTGTTAAATCGAGCGATAAAAATCAACAGTATTAGGTAGCTTTCTGCGTACGCATTATAGGATTATAATTGAGATCTTGGGAAGGTAATCAATTACTCAGGATATAGATAAATCGGAATTTCAAAGAAAGCGAAGCTCCGTTGTAGATTTGTTTGCATTTAGCGAATAATGCGAATCGCACATCTGGTTTTTAACGGGAGCTCACAAAATAGTATTCATCTTTAAGAATAAATATTGCTTGTTATTGTATGAAATTAACTTTTAATACAACGTTTAGAATTTTGTTTGGTTGCTCTTTGTGTTCCGCTAGAAAATATCCATATAAGTTAAGATTTAACGCAAATAAATAGACTCTTATTAATGTTATTCGTTTCTATTGTTTCAGAGCCTTTGCAATTCTTATCTCATCTTGGTGAGTGGCCTTTTATAAATACACTATTAAGACTATACACGTACATGCGTACAACTATATCAGAAGAAATCGACTTGATTCGTGATGAATCGCGGTCAGAGATGAGCGAAATTTCATTCGGGTACCAGACAACGAATTAAATCAACGTAGAGTAGTTTAATTTGGATTTTAGTTTATTTAACGAGTAATGGAAAGCACGAACAGGTAAGTATAGCTACTATATCCACGAATTAAGTATTATAAACTTTCTGTCGAAACACGAGCAACAACTGAACAAAATTTCACCTGAATATAGTAGCAAGTGCTGTTGCACCATTCGATGCATAATCGCTAAATGACCTTAAACGTTAGTTGAACAAAAAATTCTTTGTCTACGCGAGCGCAGAAATGCTCCTTTCTTTCTCAAAGGGGGCACGCGAATGCTGCGCGAGGCGCAGGGTTCCACGTTCCCTAGCGCGTGGGTGGCACGCGCCCCACGCTAGATTTTCCGTTAAGGTCGTTTGATATTTTCCCTATTAAATGTCAACGACAATGTGGAGCGCTGTCGACCCACGCGACGCGAACAGAATCCCATCGAAAATCGATCCACGCAAAGCTGTCGAAGAGCTAAGATGGAGAAAGATAGCCATACCTACAAACAATTTGATAAAAGACGAGCAACTACCGATCCATTACTTGTTCAATAAAAATTACAGTTCGAATAAACATAATTTACTTTACGTTGAACGAATGAATCGTTACATAGAGTTTCCATTCGTTGTCTGGAATATTGTTAGGCCGAACGAGTAGTTTCTCCAATTTTTCCTTCTTCTTTCGTTCTTCTTCCTCGACGAACGAGCACTTCGTAACACTGGCAGTAACTCTTTCATCTGGTATTTTTCTTTGCTCGAATGATCAATGCGCTACATAGAAGTCGGCAACCTTTGAGCTTATAAGAGAAACACTAGTCATATGTTCTCTTACACCATGTATATCGATTAGTTCTTTCTGCAGAGGGAGAGGGAACGAACGGTCGTTCGAGTGATAGCTCCGAAGGCAAAAGTTTAAGGGGTGCTACGTGCCAAAATGAAGCGAAAACGAAGAGAAAACGAAGAGTGGTGAAATCGCGTTTGGAACTTTTCAAGCGAGTTATTAATTAATGGAAACGCGTAGAAAAGATGCCCGAGGCGCGGGAGTTTTACAGGAAGGCAGAGGGGTTCATCAGCTGCTAGGGGTGAGACCAGAACTGTAGTTACGAGGGGTTGGTTAGGCTCCACCAGGTAGGAAACGATATGCAGTGAGTCACACAAAAATTTAATTTGAAATGTAAGTGTGGCACAGATGAATAGTATAGAATTTGTAAATTATTTATTCATTAATCTTGAAAGTTTCTGCATTTATAACACGTTCGTTTAAATTTACTTATCCATTCGCTATAAAAAGATGTGTAAATCTGTCTAAAATTTTGAGAAGAAATCGCGCTTACACTTTCAGCACGTATCTAAGAGTTTCGTTCTCTAGAAAATCGATGGAACCGTTATAGAACATGTATAAAATCAATAAGAGAATCAATATAGAACCGTTACATAACCGTTATAAAACCGACTCGAAGACCAACATTGTAACCGTAGCGAAAATCGACATGTTCGTTTTTTCCAATTGGATCAACAGTTAAAAATTTTCGTCGATCTTTCGCGAGTTTCTTCTTCCCTAAAAGCGCGAAGTAATTTTCGGACGAACGCTTGTGTACAAGAGTTGTAGCAAACAACGGTTCTTTATAACTGTTTCACCTTTATATAATAGTACGACGCTGTTATTTCTGGAAGAGTCAACAGTTATTTCAAACCCCGATCAGACCACACTACGTTTCTTAGAAATAATTTCACGGCGTTCTTCTTCTGGTACTCTTACGATTACGGGAGAAACACGTTGGTCTTCCTGGTGCGCAGAAAAATGTTATTCGTCGTTTTATCTCCTATTGTAAGCTGGCGTTGTCTGGTTCGCGTGGAGATCCAGACAGAAACGGATTACGATAATAAGTATCGTATTACCTTGTTAAAAATAAAATCGATCGTTCGCATGGAAGCTTTATTTTTATCCGATGGATGTTGCGACTATACGCTAAGTAGAAGCATTGATTTCGCTTTTCCATCGAACGAGCCGTTTTCAACTCCCTTATATTAAGAGACTTTAAAAGAAAAAAAAAAAATTGAAAACAAGAATCGATATTCTATTCGACCTTGGTCGAACAGAAATCGGCTTTGTTCAACGGTACCACCTATGTACGGCGTTTGATACGTCAGAAGGCACAATGACAATTGAATTCTTTAATTGCAGAAATCAATTTGCTATCCCAGTTACTTCCTGTATGTGGCAATAATTTTGTGACTCACTGTTCGCGAAAGATAGAAAGCGCCGTTAGAAAACAGACAAGAGCTTAGGTGGAAAAGTTTTCACACCGCGGTAGAAACAAAGTGGAACTTGGTCGTTCTTTCGAGTACAAGTGAAGTTCGTAGGAAAGAAAGGAAGAGAAGATTAAGTGTATTGGGAAAGACGCCAGAGGAAGGAGAGGATAGAGAGTAAAGCAGACTACGCGCCATTCACTTTGCTTCATCTTAATGTAGGACACGGTCATCTGAATCGCATTACGATGTAAAAGGGGGTTCCATAGGAAAGTGTTGCTCGAGGAAGACGATATACGTCGCTTCTTTTTATTAACACTTTAATATTAAGAGTAGAAATTAATTCTGTGCCTTTATATTCACACACATTTCTAATTACACATTTCTAATCACATTTCAAGTAGAAATGTTTACTCGCGATTAAAGTAGCAACCTTCGTAACAATGAAACAGATTTTACAACTGCTCGTGCTCTTTTAGAATCGATTGAGGGAAAATTCAAAATTGCACGGTAAGTTTACTTTGGAAAGGAACAGAATTCATTTCCACACCTAATATATACAGGGTGTCCCAAAAGTCGGGGAGGAGCCGGAAATGGGGGATAGCTGAGACGATTCTGAGCAACAATTTCCTTTGCGAAAATGTCGGATGGGACTTCGTTAAGGAGATATTAAGAGAAAACCCCGACCAATCAGAGCGCGCGTAGACCGTTGGAGCGGCCACGGTAGCGAAGGCTACGCGCTAGGCGGCTGCGTCAATGTCCTTCGATGCACGTCGAGTCACTTGTTCGCGTACAAGTGCGGCCGCCAGCGCGTAGCCTTCGCTACCACGTCCGCTCCAACGGTCTACGCGCGCTCTGATTGGTCGGGGTTTTCGCTTAATATCTCCTTAACGAAGCCCCGTCCGACATTTTTGCAAAGGAAATTGTTGTTCAGAATCGTCTCAGCTACCCCCTATTTCCGGCTCCTCCCCGACTTTTGGGACACCCTGTATAATTTGAATAATTTTCTACGGATGATTAAACTGTATGCCGATTAAATTTGGACAAATTCTTAAATAAAAAGGTCGTGGATTAAAGAAAGTAGGCAAACTGTCGTCGATTCGAACCGTATAGAATATTGTTAGCTGTAATGAATGACGGGACGAGGTAGACGGCAGGCGTTCGTCATCCTTCGATATCGGGTTTCTCAAAGATGAACGTCATCAGAAGCGAGGGAACGCGAAAACGATTTTGCGGTCGGTTAAGTTTTCTCCTTTGACTCGGTAGATCTTAAAAGTGTACAAAGCCATGCGTATCCTTCGCTTTTTAATCGATATCCCAAAATAAATAAGTGACGTCAAGAAGGTGCTACGTCATATAAGTTTAGCGTCACGTATGAATTCGACGTTGCGCGTCGACTAGAACTAGGTCTGTGAGTTAGGTCCGAGTTGGAAATTTCACGTCACGTAGAAATCTAACGTTACGCGATCACGAGAAGGATTCTTCTCGAAAGTCGATGTCTAAGATCGCGATAAAGTCATCTGATGAACTCTAGGCGAATCTAATCCCAATGTGACGTCACGATTATCGTGCTTAGCATCGTATATTGTACAATGTACGCAGATGAACGTGATTTGTCGTGATTAGACTGTTCGGATATAATAAAACAAGGATAACTTTGTTGTGTTGCAGATCCACCTGTCGACAGCGTGTACATGATATGTGGCGTGCTGATTGCTATGGTGTTCGTGGGCGTTATTATTGTCCTACTAGCTATAACGATCAGGTAACGACGTGTTTTGACAAAGAAAAAAAGCCGTAATTTATTATTGATTAAACTGCGGATTTTTTGCATCTATATGCAAACTGAATATAATAAATACATGGTAAACATATTATGCATATTTTATGCATATTTTATGCATATTTTCTATGTCACAAATGCATAAAATCCGCAGTCTGATTATTACTTCTTTTTTTTTTTTTTTTACATATTTTATTTTACGTATGTACCGTTCACCATGTACCAAGAAAATTTGATCATACGATACAGTTTCGAGAGCAATTCTGTGAAACACAGAACGCAGATGACGGTAACATAACGAATCGGGTTAATTAAACGAATTCCACGGACCAGTGGATAATCCAAAGGGAAGGAAGGCATAAAAAGATGGAGCATAGCAAGTGCACAATTGGATTTAATCCCCTGTTCCGAGCATTAATCGTATTTTAATTGAGCGGCGCATCAACAAATGTACCGATCTACTAAAGTTCATGCCAATTAAGGTCATCCGTTGGCTGAGGTCTCTCCTGTCATCTACTTTCAGTTACCATCGGATGGATTCACTTGTAGATCTGTTATTAGCGGCGTACAATCGATTGCTCTGTGTACAAATTGGTCCTTCGGAAAGGATAGACACCAACAGTTGGAAGAATAAGCTCGAGATCGAGAAAAAGCAAGTCAAAATTGCGACAAATTTTCAACGAACGAATCGAAACGATCACGCCAATAAGATAGTATTCGAGTAACTTCGAACTCTGCCAGATAGTATGAAGAGTCGTCGAGTGACGCAATCAGTCTCGCAGAATCTCGATATATGTAAATCGTATATCTAAGAGATTCACGTGCGAACTCGCGTGAATGAAACGGAGAATCCAATAATCCATAAAAGAGTTTCGTCGCAAATCCCAATAAAGGATTTGCTCAAGGGGTTTACCCGACTGTAAGTTTTCCTTTCCCGGAACATCGTTCGCGATCGTGATTTATCGAAAAGGTTTCCTCCTGTATCGATGCCCCAGTCGATGTAGATGCTTCCTAACGCGAGTAGTATGCGCGGATTATGCGCATCCAGAAAATGAGAAGTGGAATAGTCTTGGGACTCGTCTGTAACTCTGTTTTTTTTTTTTTTTAAGACCTATTATGAGAAAACTTGAGATAAAGTAAAACGAATTATTTCACAACGAAGTGAAATTTACGAATACTATTTTAAGAGTTTCGATAATTGCGCACGCGAATTAAATTAAAATTAATTAACGTGCACGTGATAGGCACAATGAAAATCGAGTGTTAAAATTAATGGTAGACGATAACCTGGACTCTTACAGATAACTCCACGGAATTTCTAATTTCGTACTTGAAAGTCCAAAATACACTTTTGGGATTTTCCGACAATTGTGCGCCGTGCGCGTTCTACGTCACAACGATGCTTGGGTATCAAGTATCAAGTATCAAGTATCAACTGCAGTAAGAAGTGGTAGGGGTAGAAGATTGCACGCTTAAAAATTTCACAGTACTCGCATGCGTGTACTATTACTGTTTTCGTCGCGGCTCGCACGTGTTACGTAAACAGCATCTAGAAAAATAACGTTTCCGACTTTTCGTGTTACCCGAATGACAGTGTAAACAAAATTTAATCGCAGTAGAAATTTTCGAGAATATTAGCCTGGCAGTCAACGTGTTAAATATCATTTCGTACGGATAAAACTTTATCGCAACCATTGGATCGAATGCGAGTAAATGCATGGAAGGAATAGAGACAAATGCAAGAGGTTTGTATTGTCGGTAATGGATGAAATTCTATCCTACGTGCGATAAGGATCGATTTCGTCTGCGACTAGAGACAAGGTCGATCTCGCTGAGTAAACAAAAACAGCGGCGGAGATGACTTCGTTTTCTATATCCTGGGAAAAATTCCTGGCACGTTACCAGGGTTGAGCGCGTACGCAGACAATTTTTGTTTCGTCTACTCGAATCGATTCGTAATCGACTTGTTTTTTACCGATCGAAACTCGTACTCGACGAACAGCAACATACATAATAGAACGAAATGTCAAATTCATAGGAGGAATCATCGAATACGCAAGGTCGTTTAAAATTGCGCCGACTGCAAAGCGTTAGCAACGTATCGGACACCAAAGCCACGCACCTCTTTTAATTTTATGATTTCAGAAGCATTACGTAATCGCATAAAACGTCCTCACTTTCAATTGTTTCGACCTGCGACAATAATCCATGGTGATTGTAATAACTCCGATTAGAAACTAAAAGCGAAAGAAGATTAAAATAGAGAGGGAGAGCCACGGATAAGTAGCATGTTCATACGAAGATCACGAATCTACCAGTTAGGCTTATCTAGGAGATAGTGCTTCTAGCGTTGCTAATTGTTAGAAGAGCCTCCGATTAATCGGTAATTTATTAGTAGGTGATTAGTTTGAATCTATTATTGAAATGATTAATAGCATCGCGTTCAAGTTTCACCAGATGTCACTGAATTAAACACGGTAATATTTGTTGCTTTCTGTACGCAAAATGTGTCGTTTGCTATATAAAGAATGATTTATTTTAAAACGTATATCAAAACAAATTAATCGATTGGTTGCTCGTCTTATCCGCGGCACTAGACAACTGCTTCTAATAATTTGTTTTAGATATCTTGGACCAAAAAAAGAAACCTGATGGAAATTCTGGCAATTATTCGGAATTATGTTGGTTGTTTTTCTCGAATACAAATAGGGAGACGCAGAATCAACCTGTCCGTGGCACGACAAATATCGAATGATACGATGAGTCAAGTTTTATCGCGATACCTCAGAAAACTACAGAGACATCAATAATCACTCAATAATGTATACGATGGAGAGTACACACAAAGGGGGGAAAAATGGAACTTAACAGTTACAAAACACGGAAGCATTTCTCACCCTGTTTCAACGTATCCTATTAATAACATAATTTCATGGAAATATCTGACAAGGAAATCACTCGAAACCGAGAAAGACGTTACCATTTTCATTGCCATTGTAAAAAAAATGTAATTTGATGTGCTCTACCTCTCGAGGTTTGTTTCAAGGTGCGGTTCAAATATAGACTTTTCCTTAATTTTGTTCAATATTTCGAGCAGCCGTGTGGTCATTAGGTGAACGCGATATAATTGTCGGTTCAGGTAGTTTTGTAACGTAACCGCAACGTGTGTGTACACACCCAACGCGACAAGAATAGACTCTAATTAAATAGATGGAGCGATATACCCATCCAACGTCTCCCGTTTTGTCTGAGCATGTGTTTACGTAGCGCCAGGTTAAATTTCAAGGTATATTGTTCCCGAAGATATAGCAAATTAGTTACACAGGACGCTTTAATAGCCTATAGCGCGTAAACAAAACGTTTCTACCTATTGTCACAAAAATTGTCCGTTGTCCTTTAGCCAGAAGCGTTTTTGTCTAACTTTTCAATGCTTGTCAATGCCAATGCCTACGGAACATTAAGCGTGAAATTGTCAATTGCCAACGAAGACGACAAATGCGAGAGAAACATGTTTCACAATTGTATTTCTCGTTCGCATTATTAGATCTCATTGTTCGACAACTGTTCGACGCAAGACCACGAGATAGCAAATTAATTTTTCATAGAAATTAGAATCACGTGAAAACGAACGATAACCTTGTCAAATATTTCCTATTATGATTTACACCGTTGTAACACCAAGTAAAGAAAGCACGTCGTTCTTTAGTAGACTCGACAGAAATTTTTCATTGAATTTGGTATATCGATATCTGATAGAGAGGTCTTACGATCCCTTTCGATAAATCGATTTTAGATTAACTTTTAATTAGAAATGCCACTCGAGGCACCATTTGGGATTTAACGGATTCGTTTTAAGTACCGCATAATCAGGCTTCTGGATTAATAACGATAACTGAAGGAAACAATAAACGTATTTCCACTAGTTGAATCACCGACAAAGACGTATACGAAATGCCTCAAGTATAGATAAAACGACATTACGATTATTTCAATTACGTTATTGCATAAAATTATTGCTAATTTAATCGTGCGCAAAACCGAGGAACGTATAATTCAACCTGATAATATTCTTTACTTTCAGACCATTGGTATTATATAATATTTACTTAATCTACTAAAATCGTGTTCGGATTAATATTAAATCTAGCGACGCGCGTCTCATTTATATTTAGTTTTACCGTGATCACACACGTGACTAGTCTTAAAGACAACCTTTTTCAGTTACATGCAAACATATTTCACGTGGTACCAAATTGAATAATGAATGAGACAGTTGTATATAATTTATTTGACTGTCTGGAAAGTCCATGGCGATTTTTAATAGGCGGTACAGGTCTGAATATATCGGAATGGTTGAAAACAAATAACATATGTACATTTCTTAACAGGTGGAAAGGTGTGGAACAAAATGGTACATATATAATTCTATAAATATACATCAAAATTTAAACATGCCTTTGAATTTTTCTTAAAAATAGGCATGAATCTTTCCAGACAACCCAATATATACTGCGTATAAAAACTGTATACAAAAGCTTGACAATGGTCATTTGACCGGTCATGGTAGGTTTAGTGTTGATATTCGCGTAATATTACATTAATTTATATAACGATGGAAACATAAAGTGGTAGGTCGGTACTAGATAACAAAGTATTCGTTGTGATGGTAGAAAGCCGTTTAATGGAAAAGGGTGTTAGAAAAGGTTTAAAATAAATGAAGGCTCGTGCTGTTAGCCGCACAGTTTGGTGTAATGGATTTAATTTCGTGGGAATCGTGACGTTATTAATTCGGTAAAGCTAGATTGCTAAAATAACGCGCACAGTGTGCGCGTTGCAGTGACGACATTAGACCCTCGAGCTGAAGCGTGTACCGTTCGAATTCCACGGAACGCGCGAACCGATTGGTCCGCGACCTCGCGGCGCCATCCAATCGCGACGCCGTACACATTCGTGATGTCACGGGGCGATATATAATAACGTAGCGCGCCATCCTCTGGCTCAGACCTCAGTTGGCTTTGAAATGAACGGAACGAGGTAATCCTCGGTGAGTTCTCGCAGCTCGCACGCCCTTCGGGAGTGAGAGAGAAGAGCCGGGTGGTGGTTTCTCTTCGCCTCGCAAAGCACATATAAAGAAAAATATTCAAGTCGCGATTTACATCAGTGTCGCGTGTTCAACACCAAGGATTAATCGTAGCTAGTCATCGAACGCGTCGCCGTTTGTTGTGAGCCATAGCCGAGTAACCGAACCGCAGGATACAGAAATTGTACAAAGTGTCGATAGTAAAAAAAGCGGAATCTGTCGAAGATACCTGTGTTCGTAAGAGCATACGTCCGGGGTGGTATTTGTCACGTGTTTGGTGCTCGTTGACGCAACAATAAGAAATTGAAAAGTACGTTCTAAACAAAAGCTTTGAGAAGCCGCAATGGAATAAAGACACGTTGGCAGGACAAAACAGAAAGAAGGGAAGAGAAAGAGAGAGAATAAAGACTGGCAAAGAAGCACACACTGGTCCGATGAATTCCTTTATCGACTTTACGTAAAAGCGAAAGCCGTTTTCCTGCGGTGTCCTCGCGCACTTCTTCTTTCCTCCGAAAACCGTCAAGACTCTCGACTCGGTCGAGAGTTGCATCCGCGACAGCCCGAAAATTTCACCTAAAATCGGCAGAAAGCTCTCGAAGCTGTACATGAGATACAAGACGAAAATGGTTGGGAGTAACGGAACTATGATCGCGATTCGTCTTGTCCGCAGCAAGTTGCGGAAACGGGAGGATCATTCGAATGCCGTCCATCCGGAGCCGACGGTTGTTCAAACGGCAACCACGCCGGTTTCTACGATTGTCGCGTCCTCCTATTCCGTCGAAGGTTGTTGCACGCAAATATCGACGAACACGACGTCAACGGATCTGGAAAATCACACAGCTGGCGAACAGGACGTCTACGCCATGGCCAATCCAGCGGATCAATTTGTCTGGCAGTTTCCGCCTCCTTATCCACCGCCTCACACACCGGCGCAGTACGCGTTGTGCAACGACCAGGTTGGTACAACGTGTCTTTTCTTTAGTTTCTGTTTCTTCTTTTTCCGTTGCCAGAGCTTATGCTCTCCGAAGGAAACGAGAACCGCGTCGTGTATCTCCTTTCTGTTCCTTCTCGCTTCTTACCAGCTGCACCAACCAGTACAGCCGGTCAGGACCGACTCTACCTGTAGACCAAACAGGCACTTGGGGCGCCAAGCTTTCAACCGTTGTTGCGCAACCCTTTTCGTTTCTCTGTTAAATCAGATAACGTCTTTCAAACACGTGTATCGGTATATTGTTATTTAAAATGAATTTTTATCTAGCCGTGTATATTGATTTAACGCGACGTATCGGGTTGTCCGAAAAAGTCCACGCCGATTTTTAGTAGGCCAGGTCCGAATATATCGAAATGGTTGAAAACGAATAACATGTGGACATCCCTGAAAAGGTGGAAAAATCGTGGAACAAAATGGCACTTAAGAATAATTCAAATATACCTTTGAATTTTTCTTAAAAATTGCCACGAACTTTCTGGACAACCCAGTACTTTGTCATCGTGTATATGTAGACGCACGTGGAAAATTGTATATTATATGTATCGAATTATAGCGAGTAAATTCTGTTCAATTTTATGGTCGAAGGTTAAAGCATACAAGTGTTGACATTAAATGTTGAATATGTACAAGTTCTTTATCGTTTTGTTTTAACGAATATGTTGTATTATTCAAGTATTCGTAAACATGTATGTTATGTATACAAATTTAAGGATGGTAATTATGCTGTTATTTGGTTTCGGAATGATAATGAACTTTTGACGTAAATGCATAAAAATATATTGTGCTCTTGGAAACTATGTAACGTAAGGAGAGGCTCGCGGAGTAGGTCAATCTGTCTATCCTTGACCATAATTATGAATCACTTCTGAAAATTCTTAATTTAACATCGTTGCAAGATCGTGAAATCTTACATTCCCCGTTAGAAATCATCTGAATATGAATATGTTACGTAGAGTTTAGTAACGCTTAGTCATAATGTTAACTTTTCTCTGACTGGCGCCTGCCGATATCGATAGATGATAATAACAGTAATAAATACTCTTAATTTCAACAAATAGGAATCGATGTTATTGTTGGTGCAGAGAACGGTATCGATCGATGTCTCCTAGGGAGCTGCGTACCCTTGAGTCGGTACTGGAGCGAGTATTACTAGATTTCACTGGTTTATCCCCTTCTCGTCAGGATAAGTCGAGGACCTCAAACGGTCGTTGATGTTTCATGCTAAAAAATATCGTAGGCTGACTTTGAAATCGTTGAAATGTTGACGAACCGATACAAAAATATGCCATCGTTACGAAGTCGTGTTCAATTAAGTCTAATCAGCATGTGCTCGTCATAACCTACTTGTTTGCTATCGAATTAATATTTTGTACAACGGAAACAATTCCTTTATCGTGGATGAATAGGCGTTCTTAATAATGACGGATGAATCATCCGGCTAATCGTACTTCTTTTCGCAACTGGTCTCCCACAAAAAGTACGTCTCAAAGTTATATCGTACGAACATTAATAAGAAATGCGAATTATGAGTTTTCGAATGATCTATGCCGATGTAATGGTTATTTTTATAACGCTCCATTATTGAAACGTGCATTTTATCGTTGAGTCGAACACAAATTACTTTATGCTTATCGATGGAAGTAGACTGTCGGTGGCGTAGGCTCTCATGTGTGACCCAGCACCTTTATCAGATGGAGAGGAGTGAAATATAATTGTAGCCTTCTGACGATTTCAATACCAAAAAACTCGATTTTCACAGATATTGAAAATGGCCTTTTTTTTTTTTTTTATAACCAATCGAATGATTCGAATCGAATGCTTCGTTGCGAGTCGAATTTGATTTGGCGGGCATTTTTGAACCGCGTATCCTTTATCAACGACTCTCAAGCGGTCAACGGTTAAAGGCATGCTGTTGTCGCGACAAGTAAGCGATGCATGTAATTTTGACGATGTAATACAAATTCGGGACATGCTTAACGACGATAAGACCTTTTTAAAATTGTAGTTAATAATAGTCGATGGCGCTATCGATTCTCCAAGGACGAGGCTTACGGGCAGAGACAGCCTGGCAAACGAGTTGTAAGGTCGAGGCTCAGTCCCAGGCTCGCCGCCAGAAAAATCCCAAACAATCGGCAACGTTGCCACTTCTATTCGGCTTTGTTGCCGTTATGACATACTCCACGTTTCGGTTTCATGCTCCACTTACCGACAGATCTTTGCTGCTTTCCCATATACATACACCTTTGCTAGTTTTTCAACTATTCCTATTATCGAAGCCTCGTTAACATTTCTAAATTTGTCTCGTCTACCTTTAAATCTTTACGATGTCACATAATGGAAACCATATCGATTATTTAAGTCGAGATGTCATAAATTTTCATAGGCTCGTGATGTAACATCTACGTGACGTCATTTCTCGTGTACGATTAAAAAGACGAGCATGAAGAGCTTATCCCTTACGAATGCAAAGATAAGATTGTATTTTTGAAATCATGTTCGGTGCGTTATGCAAATAGTTTCACTAAACCACGGTGTGGCGATCGATCGATAAATTTTGCCCCATCGTTTGCTATGGAAATTTCCATTAGAAACGATAGATCCAACTGTTCGTCTGTTATGTTCCGATACAAGTGATGTTACATCAGCGATAATGGATCAGTTTTATTTCGTGTATCGCGATCTCTGCAGCTCTTAACACCTTAATAACTCTTTGCAAGTGTTCATTGCCAATCGTTTACTTTATGTAGCTAATACGCGGAAAACTACTCGATATTTGAACTCGTTCCCTCGACCGACGTAACCGCTAACGTCATTCATTACAGCTGTTAATTCCACGTCCACGGTACCTATATATCTTCAGACTTCCCACAACTGTTCCCGCAGTTTCGATGCGTTTATATTTACACATTGGCAGTTTTAGTATTTTCTCTATTTTAATACTTTGATCTAATTCCTCATATTTTCTTGGTATTATCAACTGTACGTAATCGCGTAATACTGAAAAGATCGTAAAGACAAGCGCACAAGTTTTCAATGTATCGTTACATTTCGTCGTTATTGACAACGAAGTTGTACATGTTGCGTACATGTTTGAGACATAATGTGGGAATTTCGAGGTTTGAGTTTCGTTTGAGACTGCGTAACTTAATCGTTTAATGCTATAAAGATCGTATGAGACAGCTGTATAGCTGTATGTTTGATATGAAAGTGGATGAAATTTATAATTATCGATCAGCTATATCGGCCGTCGTCTGGCCAGTCACGTGCGAGGGAAACGTTTAAAATTCGATTTCTTGTAATCCAGCCAGTTGAGTTTAACGTCGTTGGCGAGCGTCGGACGGTTACGTCCTTGTAACGTCGCGACGTTTGAATTTTCCATCTGACAAAATCGCGAATGTTACTATGTTGGGTGTTTTGAGCGGATAGACGCACCTAAAAACCCGCTTTTACCCCTCTGGCCGTTTCTAAATTTAGCGTGGGTGGGCGTTGACGACGGTTTGCCAAACAGCTAGACTTCGTACAGGGTGCAGCTGTCTCGTGGCCGACAAAATAACGTGTCTCTCTCCTTGACGACACAGACAGCATTGGCAGTATTCCTACAATACTGTTGCCGCGGTTGGTTAAAACATACAACGATATGTATTTTCATTGCCCGTCTCTCGAATCTTCGTATCTTTCTGTTCACGTGTCTAGCCGTCTACCTCTGTTCAATAGTCCTCGCGCGTACCTCGCCATTTTAGTTTCTCTTTTTTTGCTCTTCGCATAGCTTTTGGCCCTCGTCGATAAGTTTCGCAATCTCCCACCCGGATATATGTATATGTATATGTATCTTCCTTTTTCGGTTGCGACGACAAGCTCTCCACTACGTGTTTCCATGTTTCGTAAATCGTTCTATAGTACAGAGATGGGCAGAATTTAGAATAGCAGACAACGAAGCAACATTCGATAGTCTTTATCGTGAGACTTAATTCGATACCAAAAGTCATTTTACAGTTTCTATTAGAAATAGGCAACTATTCGTGTCTCTTCGTTTCTCTTTCGTCTAATTCTTTTATTACGAGTATCCGAACTTGTATTTCAGCCCTCAAAATATCATATACCGCTCAGGAACGAAAATGGTTGTGCACCACTGCACTAGTCATATCGGCAACTGTATCGAAAGTCGTAATTCTTGCATGACCTTACTGTCTCGAGCATGCTCGCGTGACGGTACGAAGGATTTTTAGTTTTTATTCCTACACTTTTGTAACTCCCGGAAAATTCTATTTCGATCGGTTTTTTTTTCCCGCTCTTACACCTCTTCCCTCTCGTATACCTCCACTCCTTAGAATCAGACAAAGCTAACAGACCCTTTAGCGTAGAAATGAATCGTTTTGAAATATAATTGAAAATGTACGTTGTTTGACATGTTTCAGGATACACTTGTACACGCATTGCCGTCGGATAGGTCTGGATTCGCAAAGGTTTTCCGTAAAAACATTGGAGGACGCTGGCGTCGCTTTGTAAAAAGGAAGCCAGAGTCGGAAACTTGTGCCATTCCTCCCGAACTGAAGGATCAATTGAAGACTATTTACGTCTATTGACAGCCAGCATCCGTTGCATCGTTGTTCGTTTCTTTACAATCCTTCCACTACTCAGTAATCAATGCTTTCTTGTATGTAAGATAGATATTGTATCGGGGAAAGGAGAAGATTATATCGTATCGAGGAAAGGTGATCCCTTTCGCGTATTTCGATTCTCTTGTTTCGTATCGAGAAAAGGAGATACAAAGTAAGAGAATTCGCTTAAGTAAAAGGAAAGCGAGCGTCGTGTTCGAGCGATGAGTGGCTTGCAAAAAAAAACGGGGAAAAATCACAGGATACAATCGTTCACGTAATTGACAGAGATATTCATTTGAAAGGGTATGACGCCCGTTGCGAAACATATCGAAAAGTGCCTAATGATACTTTCGCGTGCTTTCAACTGGTCGAGTGAAAAGCATGCGAGAGACAATTGTGTCCTTTTAAACCTTGTATTTTTGTAAGAGTATAGTATCAGAGTCAAGTTAAACTGGATCATAATTATATACATTTCGGTGATATATTCTGAAAGCGTTAAAAAAAAAAAAAATTGAATAAATTTATTGACATACTTCTTACTATAGTTTATTATCGAATATGCCGCAAGTAGTATACGCGCGTCCCTGTAACGAAATGAAACGAAAACCGTACTGAAACTACTATCGCGCGTGGTTCATCGCTCGTACATGCAATTGGATAGAAGTTATTAGACTTCGATACGCAGGACGACGGCGTCAAGAACTTCATGAGACTGAAATGTAAAGTGTACGATAACACGAGTTACCTTGTAGCTTTTGTGTACGTTTTTACATGATTTAATAGGAGAAATCATTTCGAATCACTAGTATTAATGTATACCTGAAAATATATGACCGTCGGAGCTGCCTTCCTAGGCTTCTGTTCTTCTATGTTTCTCTTCTGGCAGCTTTGTTGCTATGTAAATAGATGTATAACATAACGAAGGCGTAAACTACTTCTAATTATTATAATGGCCGACCGTTGAAGTAAATCCCCGAACTTTCCTCTGTACATACGATATACGCGATCTACAACCTACGAGGTCGAAATTAGAAGCGGATATTCGTTTTTCGATGTGTATCTCGTCGTATGTATCGAGAAAAGCATCTCTACTTCTGGTCTCTATCTTGTTGGTGTACGTTGTATAGGTAAAGGTCGGGATCGAAAAGATGCTGATACAAAGCTGCGCTCGACCAGAATCGTTTCTTATCCCTTATGGTGGAAATGATGTAGCATTTCGTAGATACTTGTAACATAGGCTAATTTAAGATTGTTAATACTATTCAACAGCTCATATTGAGCTCATACTACAGACTAATATGGTATTTTACTTGTATTGTTGTATTAAGCAATACCGTGTCTCGAAACGTGGCTGAATATTGATCGATCAAATTTTTACAGAACAAAAAGATCTTTGTCTGATGTTGAGTCACGTTTCGCAGTAGTCTAACTATTTGTGTCTGTATTAAGCGTATATTTTGCACGCGTGGCTTTTACGCAACTGTGGCATGATTGATAATTTATGCAGAGTGAATCAAATGAAAATACTAAAAAAAAAAAAACAAGAAAATATGTTACCTGTACGTATTGCAACAACTTTATACCGTAACGTGGAAAGATAGTAGCAACGTTCCTTCACGGCAGAACCTTTTAACTCTTTATTGTAATTTTGTAGAATGTAAATATTTTATAGAATCATTTGATTATCACTAGTATGATGGAATAATGTTTTAGCGCAATACAAATACTTTAAGAATCAATGACGTGCCTACATCCGTGTATAATAAAATGTTTTTATAAAGATGAAAATCTAGATGGAATTGTGAAACGTGTCCATCACCTAGTCACATGATAATAATTGTTCAGAAACTGGTATTGTAAACATTTCAGCGCAGCTTGAATTTTTCCTCGTGAATACGTGTCTGAATACAACAATATCAAATAAAGTATTCAAAAGGATTTATTGTACGTGGTTTTATTTAATCCTGAACACATTAAGTAGTACTTTTTTAAATAAAATATTCATTTAAACAATTGTACGATGAGAAGTAATCTAACACAAGAAAATAGTTTGAGACATTTAAAATACTCTGCGTCTATGACTATAATAATCAAAACTGCATAAAGCTGAGAATGCAAATCTCTTAATTAATTAATAAATTAAGTCATTCTTGTTCCCAATGTTCAAAAACGGGGCAGGCGATGCAATAGCCATCTCGTGGTGAAAGGGTCGAACTAATTTCGGAGTTTGGTCACGGTCTCTATCGGGAAAACGCCCAAGTTTGTCCTTGAATAGTACTCACGGTCAACGCTAGATGGCGCCATTTGTATAATTAAATAATAAATAAAGGATTTACAGGTTAAAAAATGATTTTCATTCATATTTTAATATTACGATACTTGTCCACTAATTTGTTGTTGGGTATATGTAAAAAAAAAACTGAACATATATCTGTGTCGACACCGGTTGGCGAACAGCCAAACTAATTTTGAAGTTTGGTCTCTCTCGGGAAAATGCCCAACTGTGTCCCCGAATAGTTCCCACTGTTAATGCTAGATACTAACTTGGGCGTTTTCCCGGTGGTGCGCTGTACGTAGGTCGAAATTTTAGTTCCACCTTCTCGCCGCTAGATAGCGTATTATATCCTAAAAAACGCAATGAGTTTCTCCTCTGTAAGAGTATTATATCCTATGCTATGTACTAACTATTTATCTGAATTATCTGATTCAAAAACGTGGAGAAGAATGTCAGTCAAATTTTGACTGGTTTTGACGGTGCATATCCTTGTAATTCCGAGAAATTTGTAACAAATAAATACTTACCGTTTAAATGTCTAATACCAATGCAATGGAAAATGAAAATGATCCAGTTGTTAAAGAGGTTTGTAAAGGAATTTTCGTTTTCTTTCAAACTGTTTACATTGCTACGTGAAACGTGGTACTTTTAGGTTACGTATTTAATTTGTTTCAATGTTTATTTCTCTGCAATTAATTTACAGTTTTATTTTCATAACGATAAACAATAATCAATTATCATTTACGATATCCAATCTAATTTATGCTTCATACTTGTACATTATTTACTTTTTATATCGACAATAAACACATCGTATTGTATATTTTTGTAATAAAGACGCAGGTGGTTCAATAGAGAATGAAAAAAAAATTTTAAACTTATTTTTAGATTCCAGTGTTCCTTTCAAAAACGCTTGCAGATAAGCTTTTCATCTTGCAATATCCAGTCCGGCCTGTTAAAGAAGGTTATGATGATGCAACCTTCCTAAAAACTTCGATAAAACCAGAGAATCAGGAAGTCCTCATAGAAGTAGCAATAGATTCTCATAGTGTTCATTATGATGAAAGTAAAGGAGAACAAATTGCACTCAATGCAGATGGAGATTCAAAAACTGATCAAGATGATGACGACAGAGCATTTGAGAGGTAATTGGAAATCTTTAATTATAGTAGTAAATGAACTTTCTAATTCGCATTGCGTACAATAGGTGTTACATTTTAGTAATCGTATGGATAAGACAGTGTTACAATCATCTCGAGCTCTTCCAAACTGTTCCAATTATGCTGTTGGTGTTTTTCAAGATAGAGAACTACATTTAACACCTTTAAGAGGGATCATCCAAATGCGTCCACAGTTCAATTATCTCGATAAAAGCGACAAACGTTGTAGAGAAGATGGTAAAAATCCAGGAGAAGGTAATATCCGCATAAATTATTAATTAAAGTTCAGTAGAATTTTATTACCATTATCCGCGTGTAGATTACGAGGATGAAGAAGAAGGACCAAAACAAGTCAGTGTCACGTTTGCTAGACAGAAGCCGGAATTTATGAAAAAGATGCAAGAGCAATCTTTTCAACATCATGCTCAGAAAAGTTTGGAAGAGAGATGGATTCATACAAACTATGTACAAGCAAATAGTACTCAAGCAGAGGTTAATATTAATATAATACTAATATAATTCTTGTTAATATTTATTATAAAAACGTGTATATACTTGTACATATATTTTCAGCTTACGCGTTTGGAAATGTTTTGTTCTACTACCGACGAAACTGTAAATACGTTGAATTTATCGTCACAGCAATATTTAGATTTACTAGCACCGCGAATGAAAGAAGATCAATTGAAATCAGCCGTGTCTAATAGTACAACATCCCTTAATTATATTAGGACTTTACCTCTCCTTGATCAAATTAAAATACTTATGAAAGATGGTTAGTAAGTTTAATATGACCGCGCCTTAATTTTGAAACGACCCGTACTAATACTGAAAATCTATATTTTACAGCTAAAGTTATATCCTTTCTACAGTTACGTTCCATATTATCCGCGGATCAGGAAACAATAGCCATTCTAAAATATTTACAGCAAGTAGCAGTGTTAGTACAAGGAAATTGGGTTGTAAGCAGCGAACTCGTATATCCAAAGGATAGTATTTCGGCGCATAATGGTATTCCTGCAGAATTTATGTGCAAGGCTAGGGATTACATCGTGAGTAAACATTTAGCACGAGCGATTTATTTAAACAAATACTTCATTTAACTAAATATGTAATTTTAGTTATTATCTTTCACTGAGCACGAATATCTAGACAGGAAGACAATTTCATCGGTTGTAAAATTACCCGCAGATGAAATTAAAGAAATATTTACGAACTTGGCGATACGCAAACCTAGAAAGGGGTGGCGCTTAATAATTCCACCTACTACAGAATTTATCGAAAGGTACCGCGGATACTTTTTGGTCTGTGTTCAAAAGTAAAATAAAAGGCCGTGTGAAAATTTGTTATTTATGTAGTCATACGTTTTCGCTAGGTATCCCGAGATAACGCAAAGACAAGAAATGTTTTGGGAAGCGAAACGGAAATTCCTTCGCGAAGCTATGGAAGTTCAAAATCAGATTCCACAGCGCCAGAGGCGGAAGTCGAGTAGAGAGTCTATCGGATCGGAAAACGAGGAAAAAAACATGGGCCGCGGTAGAAAAACTCTAAGAGATTCATCGATATCCGATAACGATAGCGCGACGGAACCAGTAAAACATAAAAAAACCATTAGATCTCGCAAAGTGTCCGAAACCACGTGACCTAAGTTGACGCACGATTAAAATGTATAATATTGGTACATATTGTTAATGAAATTGAAATTGCAAAGTCATCGCACGTCTAGATCATATTATTACGATGTGTCTGCTTCTAGTCTCAAATGGGGCGTTGAGAAAACGACAATATAGGTTACGAACATTGTCCGTTCAAACGGACAACTTTAACACTTTGTTACTCTAAGTATTTATAACAAAATCCGAGATGCTGTGTTTGCTTTTTATAACGTCGTCCATGGTGAAATACGATTAATATAGAAATGATTTCAACGATGTTAACTATTACAACATGTACAAAAGGATAACAAGCTTGTCGTCGAAGTATGTACTATAACGAAATTGTAAAAAGCATTCATTTATTGTTTTCAGTAGTTACTTTCTACACATCGTGGATCGATGATGAATTGAAAGGCATGGACTGAGAAATGACTGATGTTTTTTATTTTAATAAAAATATTTGTATGATAAATAGATGAATGATGTGAAATCGTGATAAAGTTTAGATAAAAATATATGTATACACTGTCGCAACAGATGAATCATATGCTGTATTTATTATTACGATATTCAAAATGTACATATTTATAATATCAAACCGTATTTCTTTCCATACCTATTACCCTCCAATCCTTTTTCATGTCAGTTTTTATAAAAGTATAATTCATCATCACATATTTGTACTAATACGAACAACAAGGCTAAGAAAGCGAAAGAATTGAATTGAGGTTAACGTTTGTTCTCATTTTGTAGCGTAATTAATTGATAATTATTTAATTCATGGTATTACCTATCACGAGTCTATTTTCGGTTATGTGAAAAGTAATACCCGTTTCAAACCAGGAAATACTAATGAAAATCAAAATGCTGCTACTTAGATATGTCTCGATGTAACAGTAATCTCTAGGCACCTGTAACGTGTATACATTAAATACTGGTTTACCGAACTACTCGATCAGACGTATTTTATTCGAACTACAGGTATGCATACATTACGTAACATACATCGCTGTTTGTATACAGATGTAATTAATTATGTGTTCCTAAGAGAAAATGCAATTCACCGTTAAAAAGTGTAACGAGAGATTAATGTTGATTTCGGTGCAATTTCACCTTGCCTTGATTCACTAATTGGACACTCTTTTTTGGAACTTTATGAAAGTTCGCGCATTCAATTGCAGCAAATTTCCACTATCATTAAAAAAGATACAGCGTTCAAAGTTTAAACTATTAATTTCAACTACTTTACATCCTTACCTGTTAGATGAGAAAGTAATAGTCACGACTGTCCTTGAAGTCTCCGTAAAGATTATTACACTTCTCGAAGCGTGTTATTGCATTAAACCAACGGAACTATTTTAACGCGTGCAAGAACATACATCATACCAAGAGAATGTCTCGATTCGAATACAAAACCAGTTTCATATTACAACATTTGTAACGAAGAAAAAAAAAAAGGACCAACTTTCTTGAACGAAATGTGGCTTTCTTCGATTGGTTTGCAAATTCGTTGGAAAAGATCTTGAAAAGAGAAAGATGTTATCGAGTTACGATTTGGTAGGAAGAAATGCAAGAGGTTTTCGTTCGGGTGACGGTCATTCACCTTGAATGGAGACAATTATTATTACTTCATCAAATATCCCAGGGAAATGTTAAATTACAAAATGCGATTACGTAATAATTTAATAATCTCGAGTTCATCCTCGTTTCCAGTACGATTATCTTATTTCCCCCTTTAATCGATCATTTGCATATTACAGGGGCGTAACGGAGGGCAAACGCACTTTCTCCTGCGGGTGAAAGTACATTTAAAGTATTTCTTACGCGTTTGCACGTCCGTAGTAGCCGAATATCTGTCGCACTATTGGAACCACGCCTCCGAAACGATAACATCAGGACGCAATAACGCATTGCACGATACAATCATGTACAATGCGACTTAAATTATGACGGGGCGTTACGACGGGGAGTAACGTCGACACGAAGAAGTCAAGAAGCATTACGAAGCGGTACAAGATTCTTCTACGCTTTTTATTTAAGACATACAATATCTGTGGTTAGTTCGTTTATTATTAAGCCCTTCCGAAGTATAATAAGTTACGGTTCCTTGTTCTAGATACGTTAGAACGTTGTCGACAAATAAAAAAAAATATATACATATTAAATAATATACATATATTAGTTTATTGTCCCCTGTTATAGAAGGCAGGAACTTTCTACGGGACCTGATACAGTGTGCTCTACCGGTATCGGTTTTATACTGGAAACATATTTCGTGCTTCGACTTCACGGTCTAAATTCATTTGCAGCTAGCAGAAACCGGTTTGTGGTTTGCAAGAATTTAAGTCTATTCTGCGATATCTGTTTTCCGAGGTTCGATCACACCGAGAATTTCGTGTGCTTAAAAGGCAATCGAACGTATACCTAAACAGTTGTCAACAGTAGCCGCTGATATCGTTATAAATCTTTACAGGTCGACAACAACCGTCCGAAACTTCACACGATCAGACAACTAAGAGGCAAATCGCGATAAAAAGTTCGAACGGGGTGGAAACGGCGAAGAAAGCGAGACATTCGATCTTGTCGATCGCATCAATCGGAAGGGACCGTTTCGCGGCTTCCGTCAGGTGAAAACAATGACCTTCGATAGCCGTCTCTGCGAGAAAGAAAGTCATCGCGATCTGTTTCCATGCAATTTTAATAAATTACACGCTAAGCAGTGCGTTGAATGCGACGGGGGAAAGAGTGACGATTCACGCTTCTGACGAGTCAAGAAATCGAAGAAAAGAAACCGAAAGTTTCCCCGTGAACGTGAATTTCATTTTTCTTTCTCCCTCGCTTCGTTCGCGCTTGTCAATGGTAACTTAGTTCCAACGTGACATCATTCTTATACAACACAGAAATCGAACGAGAATCGAACTTCATTCTCAAAGCTTATTGCGACCGAAATTTACTCACCACAAGTTTTGAGTAGACCTGCAATTGTTTAATTACGCGTTCTCTCACGGTTAGTAGAACTTCGAAGGAGCTTCAGAAGAAACAAGACATCGAATTCCGTGCACGCTTGAGTGCGATTCTTACATCATCGATACCTGCGGACTCTCGATACTTTTTACTTCTGTACACGCAGAACATCGCGCCAGATTATTTCCGCAAAGCATACTTTTCATAGCGATGGGATCCAAACGAAATCGGGCTGAACTTGCTTTCTATGCGTAAATTTCCTTTCGGCAGTAGGTCGTAAAAGTCGATGTCATATCTGTACGTGGGTACCCTGTTGAGGTTCCATTTGCATTCATCGAACGTGACTTCAATTTTTATGCCCATGGATGAACATTTACTTCGAATTTTGACCAAGTCGGACGCTTCTTAGATTTCTTCAACGCCTCATCTAATTGTAAGACCTGTAACATCGAGAATTTTTATTTGTTCCATGTTTCTTGAATTATCATCTGTGCTTAGGACAGATAATTAGTGGTAACTAGCGATCAATGGCGACTGGTAGCGGTTGGTACCACATAACTCGTTACTATTTCATCGATCCTCGTTCATATCTATGATAGTTAATAATCTATTGGGTTGTCCAGAAAGTTCGTGGCAATTTTTAAGAAAAATTCAAAGGTATATTTGAATGTTTATATACACATCGAATATATTTATTGAATTATGTGAGTACCATTTTGTTCCACAATTTTTCCACCTTTTCAGGGATGTTCACGTGTTATTTGTTTTCAACCATTCCGATATATTCAGACCTGTACCGTCTACTAAAAATCGGCACGGACTTTCCAGACGACCCAATATATAATAGTTAAAATCTATGATATGTAATGTCTACGATAATATAAATGTCTATAACAGTTACGGTCTCGAATTCCGTGAATTTCGAACTCGGACAGGGGTTGGTCCTCCAGTCCTCGTCGCATGTTATTAATTCAACGATTTACCAGGGGTTCAGAATTTTCGGGGGAACCCCTTGTGTCGCGTTACGTGCCCAACTGTCTCCCACCACCCCAAAGCGGACCCAGCTGTTGGAGGTAGCTTGGTGGAGGTAACTTTCAGCGAGATACGCTATATAAGAGAATGAAGAACCGGCCGGCCAAGATAAAGCTCGCGTGTTGTCAATCCGTTCATCGTGCAGTTGCTCCTCTACCTTCGTCGTTGACAGGTAAGTGGGGCTAAACAATTTTCGAAAGATACACGAGGGGCGAGGGGGCTTCGAAGTAACGCGAGATCAGTGATGACGATGTGCAAGTGTCTTCTTGACTTTTTTCATCTGTGTACCTATCGGTGTACCTCGTCCGTCAATCTTTTGCAAGCCAAGCGATTACTTAGTTTTTTCTTCTTTTTGTTTTTTTTTTTTTTTTTAATTTTTGTGTTACGCGGTGATTACGACCGAATCTTAGCAATTCGTCAGATTGCACGACCTAGGACCTCGGGAGTGCAAAGAGTTGGGAAAAAAAGTTCCAAAGTCCTTTTATAAGTCCGAGTAGAGTCAAGACGATAATGATCAATTGTTTCCGCGAATTCTAGTTGAAAAAGTTCTGTCGAAACTCGTACTCGATACAATCGAAAGCTACTCGGGTCGAAATACCAGTGCACCGGGACATACATGTAGATATAAACCGAGGGAAACTCGATGAAAAATTTGCGAGATTAGCGTCGTTACGCACGGCGGAGCAGGGATTGTGGCACGTGCCTTAGAAGCGGGAAAAGGAACCGGTTGTGCGAGGGCGATCAGGAACTGCGACGAGGAATTTATGAAAATTTTTACGCTGCCCTGGGTAGATCGATGCTCGCGTTACTACTTATGAAACACGAAGTATTACAGTTTATTCACCGCGTTTGTAAACCTTCCTCGAGATGAGGTAATGTAATCGACGAGGATAAGACCGACGTAGGAATAAATGAATAACGAGAATAATAAGAAACAGTGTTGATGAAATCTTGATTAAAAATTAAGAAGTACGAAACTGTTCGATTCGTTATCGCGTCCGTATTTGCCCTTGAATACAATGTTATTATAATACTATCCCTTGGAAAAGTATTACGTAAGGTAAATGCAGGATAGAGGAAGAGCTCTTGGAGTAAGCTTATCGTTCTGTTTCTAAACGATTAAAAAATCTTCGATTCATCTTTGACTCGTCATCCCTTTAATTGGATTTTCTGAAATGACTTCCAGGTATCGCGAAAATCTCCAAATGTTTCGGATGCTTAAAATTCTGGAACGATTGATGGCGACTCGACATACGAGAGTAAAAGGTTAATAGCACCGCAGGCTTTGGTTTACCCGATCAAAAAATGTCGCCACAACTATAAAGCCTGCTCTAGATTTCCTTAAGAGCACGTCCAACCAGTTACGTGCGCCCTCCGCTGATATATATTATACAGCCGCGTTCCCCTCGTTTGTAGTTACCAGACAACTATCTCTTTTTTCATTATGCAATTGCTTTCTTTGCGCTCCGCCTCGAGAAACCCCTGCGGATCAGCTTCCAACCGCGACGCTCGCGAGCCTTATCAAAAGAAGGACATGCCCGGAAAGTACACCGTGTTAAAAAACCACGCATCGTTTATGGCAATGTACGGAATTTTTTCCGCATCTCCCGAAGCGAGCTGTTCAATTATTTTCTTTAATTAGTGCTAAATGGTGGTTTAATGGTACTAAAGGGATGCGTTAGTTTTATAGTTTCTTGAAAAAGAGAAGCATGCACGTTTGGCTGTTAACAGTCTCTATCATTTTCTTCACTTCTTGAGTTCCACAAGAAACTTGAACAGTAGAGGACACATTTAAAAAAAAAAAAAAGTGTCCCCCGACGAGGTGATCGAATTTCAAAGGAATCCTTGGTACAACACCCAATCACGTCCTTTCTAGACGACGAACCTTGGACGACATTGTTTCTCGATCTGCACATACGCTCTAGCACCATAATTCGATTCCCGACATCCGATACAAGCATACACGCTTCCATTTTCTTTTTCTACGAGTGGCATTTTCGCGCGCGGAGTCCAGTGACCGTCGCTTAAAATCATTCGCTCGAAATCGGTTACTCTTTTATCGTGTATCTTATTCGTATTTCATTACTAGCACGCGGATTTTAATGAAGAAAGTACAAAATGCACACAATGTACAAGAATTACATTGATGAAGATGAAAAATATTGAAAGTAAAGCTCGTATTATAATATCTGCAAAGTAAAATAAATTACTATTTAGATGTAATTCTCAAAGGTGTACATTTGCAAAGATTTTCTTTTCTATGAAGATCTGCAGTGTATTCATTGTCACATTTATTTTATTATAAAACAATATCCTTAGGGTAGTTTTGGGAAATCCTTCGAGAAGAAGTTGACGAAACCACGATAGGATTTAAGTGACGGTCACCGTGCACGCGCTAAATACCATAAATCAATTCGCGCCACCCGATACAGATATACACGCTCCAATTTTTCTCGTACGAGTGCCATTTTTGCACGCAGGACCCACTCACTTTCACTCGAGCCGCGCTGATCGAGTCTGCAGCCACCTTCTTAACGATCGCCGGACCAGCGTCCAAGACTAAGTAAAGACAGCCTCCTCGTTAAGAACGAGCTGCATTTTTTCATGCCTGCTGGTGCAAACCGTTAACCACTTTGTTCTTTAAATGGACTGGTTAATCGAGCAGGCGATTCGAGTTACACGATGACCCGTCCCGATCGCATTTGACGAACAGGTTGCGTAAAATGTCACAGCAAACCGGAAAACGGCTTGGGACTGTACCTTCGACCTTTGTAACGCGAACAGGAAGCCTTTCGTGATTCTCGTTTTTCTCGATTACGCGAGTTTTAACGAGCAAATCCACGGTTCATTAGCAACGCTTTGCTGATAAAGGCACTAATTACTTTCACGCGATGCTGGAAGCTGGCGAGATCCATCATCCTACGATTTTCGTGAAATTCTGCAGCCAGATATTCTTATTTTTTCATTTTGCTTTTCTTTGGGTTGTACTGGTTTGGCCGGTGGTGTCTCGTGTGCCTTTAAATCCTGAACTCGTACAATCCAGGATGCGACTATACTTTCGACCGTTTGACCTAGAATTATAATTATGTCATTAGTTTCGGTGCCTCGAGTGCTATCGTTACGCGAAATCCCATTGAAAAGCTAGCGTTACAGTTGGGGGCACCTCTCTTCCCAGAAGGGAAAGCGACGAGCCAAAAAACCAGTGTACTTTCTTCGTATCGACGGGAGATCGAACTTTATTTGTCCACGATGATTCGCTGCTTGTCAGTGCCGGGGTCCTAGGCCTCGCTTTTACTCTTTTTTCGCGTTTGTCACGCTCAACGGCCGTTTCTTTTTATCAACGAGAGATCTGGGGTACAGGGAGGTCCGATCTCGTAAGTCGAGCCTTTCAAATTTATCGAAAGCGTCGGATCTCCTGCGATACATCATCGCCGTTACGAATGAGATGTCCTCAACGGATCGTGAAACCGCCGTCCATGTTTTACGCACTAGAAAGCGAAGTGCTTTCCACTAGGACGTCGTCGATTCGGGTGCGAACACACTTGTGTTTCTAGTTAAACGACACAAACTGGGTAAAGAAAGGTACACTCGTCTTCGGACTGCGGATGTTTGTTCAAATTCATATTTTTATCGACACGTGTAAGGAATAAAGAATTGAATTCCAGTTCCCTGTGCGCATCGCCCAGAACTAAATATTTGGCTTTCCACCGATATAGTCGAACAGGTCAAACCAGTTGTGCATACCAAAGTTTCGTTCTACGCGTAAAAATGCAATTTCACTTAATCAGATCGGGTAATTTTACTTTTCTACGACCAGTTTATCGGTTAAATTATGCCAGCGCAAATTGGTCCGGTCCGGTTTTCGGATGAGGAATTACAAGAAGCTGAATATATTAACAGGGGCATTAGTCGGTTGAGTCAGCGCACGAGAGAGTGTGTACAATTTCGCTCGATTTGAAATACCATTATACTGTTTCACCACATTTCTCCGTAGCCCTCTTTCACGCGAATATTCTAGGTCATCGACATTAAACGCACGCGACCAGCTGCAAGTGGAATCTTCGAAACTCAAGTGTCGCTTTCCTAAAGATTTCTTACGTCTTTCTTCGCGTTATTTCTTTCACGTTGGTTACTTTCTTTCGGTTGAAAGACTTTTTCAGGTTGCAACAACGTTGAATAAAATCTCTTTGTACAAATGTGCAGAACGACCGGGGGAAAGCGTCAGGTGCAAATATAAAGCGTAATATCAAGCATCCGATCAGAGATTTCATCTCCGATGAAAATTAGACATAATCGAATGTACGCGATAGGTTTCGCGGGATAATAAAAATAACTAATCGGTTTCAAGCTGATCGTAAAGTTTCACGTAAGACGAGCTGCGATTACCATCAATCCTGCCAAGTATCATTACTTTCCACTTTGAATGAACCCAGGTGCTTTATAGCGAAGATATCAATAGTCAAGGTTGCTTTCCCTCGCACATGTCTGTATGTACACAAATCTCTGTTATTTCGTCTGCGTATCATGGAGCGAGAAAGTGCATCGAGCACGTAATTCCAGCCAGCGAGAAAATATCGCAGACTGCTTGCTCGAACATTCTTGTTTTGCTATGCATCATTTTCAGAGGCCTGACCTTTTCTCGCCGTAAGTTATAGCCACGTACCCCTCAACCATATTTCAATTCAAGCGTTTGGTCTTGAATTCAAAAATGTGTTTAAACGCAAGTACATAAATGATTATTATCAATCTACTGTTCGACTCTTATTTTACATTTTGCAGGATGTATTGGCTGTGTCTGACGGCACTAGCTGTGACTGCAACAGCGCAGAACCCTTACGACCTAGACGGAAGGGCGCCATATCCTGGGAAATCGTCCAGCTTAGGGCCCCTCTATGCGACCGCTGCCCAAGGTTTTCGCGATAACAGCTACGAGGACAACATCGTGACACCCACGCCGACACCTGCGTACAGAAACAATGGCCAACCTGTGAGCAATGCGATTCTTACTATCTTTATTATTACGTCTGAAAGCAGAGACTATCAGTTCTCGAATCGTTCGAATTTCTCGGATAGTTATAAATAAATGCAACGAAAGTAGTTGCGTCATATAATATTGCGTATGCGTGATACATATTACGTAAGGGCTTACGTAAAAATAACCGGTTACTTCAAAGTACCGACTCACGTGACTTTCTTACTGCAACTTCGTAACAAGTGCGCCGACCGCCATGAATGGTTTCTTACGAGAAAGAATTATCTGATCGTATTCAGTAACTTAACGTACACACTTTCGTCGATTTTACAAATTGCAAGGTTTGAGGCTTTCAAACGTTGTAGCCTGCATCTTCAGGGCCAGGTAGCTTCGATACCGAAGCTCCCTTGGTTCAGGATGTCTTTTATATTTCCATGTGTTCCATCCTTCGCAATGAGACAAATTGGAAGGTTTTACTTGAGAGTTAATACAAATTTCCAGCATACAGCTTTTGACTTCAACGTATGCCCTATTTTCAGTTGTACCGTAAACCGTCGGGTTCGCTCGATCAAGGGATCAGAGTGAACGGACCACCACGTGGTGGTGTTCTACGAGGTGGACAAAATCCTCAGGTGATTATCATTTAAAGGATGAAATCTAATGAACGACATTGAACTTGCAACGGTCGTTAATATCGTACTGTGTTCGAAGGGCGAAGAGCTGGAGGAAAAGGAGGAACCAGATCGTCTCACGCTTCTCTTACCGCAAAGTAAATTCGATTGCGTGAACAAGCAGACTGGGTACTATGCCGACGAAGACCTGCATTGCGAAGTTTTCCACTATTGCCACGAAAATGCCAAACACTCCTGGATCTGTCCCGAAGGATTCACGTTCCACCAAGTAATTTCATTTTGTCCAAGATATCAAGGACAACTTTACTTTCGATATTCTTTTATATTATACCGCATGCATTTTGTAGTTTCTTTTACATCCAAGTTTCCTATAAATGCATAAAAATCCGCAGTCTAGTTGTCACTTGCAACCGATATTATCGGTGGTTTACGTGGCTCGCTCTGTACACGGATATATTTTTTTTCTGTAATGCTCGTTTTTCTTTATTTCGAATTGCGTAACCGACCAAACGAGAAAACAAAACAAAATTTAAGCTTTATATAATAATCTGGAACAGTTATTCCCGGAAAAGTTTCGAATCCTGATCTCGAGACCGTTGCTTAAGCATTTCTGCGTAATTCAGGTAGCGTGTGGTGAAAGTGCTCGCGAAAAATAAAGTTCGTTTTATACTGGGACAATTATAGCGCAACCTCGAATAACCACTGATAAGTAAATTTCACTTTTCGATGCATGGTTTCGCCTGAACGTTTCCGGTATTGTTCGTCGAACATGTAAATGAAACCAATCATAAATCGCATCGATCGGTTTCCCGATAGTGGCTTATAGTGCGTTTCCGGGGTAATCGACCCACGCCCCTTTTCTCGACTGAAAATAGAGATAGATTCAGATAAGTAGAGGAACGCGGGCGCCTTTCTCTTTTCTGAACATGCAAGTTATTGACTCTTTCTGACCCTCGATTAATTGTTTCTTTATTTTATCAAGATACGTAAACTGTTTTGTGTTGATTATTGTAGCTATTAGTCCAATCTTGCTTGTTATAAGTCTTCCATATATGTGTTTTTTTTATTTGTCTATATCACATCTTAATAGGAAAAGATATCACAATACACCATCACTGGCTTGTACAGGAGACGTAATCGCAACGCGAGAATCAAATAACCTTCGTTACTTTGTAGGTTCACCTGATTTGCATGCCACCGAACGGTGACATAAACTGCAAGAAGAGCTCGCAGTATCACTTCGTGAACGAGTACCTGTACAAACCATTGAACTTGGCAGAAGCTGAGAACAAACCCAACGTGACCTTGAGATACAGCGAAAGATATTTCCCTGCTGATATCCACGCGGACGAACGCGAGGCTGACGACTATATTAGTTCTGCGCCTGCTCGTCGTCCTTCGCCACCTGTAAGACTTTATATCGAGGTAAATTAGAAGCGTATCGATCGCAAATATTAATAGAAATATTTATATGCAGGTGTATGCAAGCCCTCAACCTCAATCAGCTTTGAACAGCATTCCATCTTCGGCTCGTCCACAACCAACAGGCCTTCCACAATTTCGTTTACCGTTAAACCAAGTTTTTCGTAGCCCTGAAGAAGTAAACATACCTCTTCAACACAGACGCCCGCAACCGCAACATCAACCTGTGAGAAGATACCCTCAAGTCCGACCTGATGATGAAGAGTACGAGTGAATTTGATCTGCAGTCGATTTGATAATTTTATCATTCATCGTCATTAATCATCGTCGCATTTCAGTCGCTAATTATATTGCTGAAATCTCATCACACCTCTTACATTGAAATTAAAAATAAGAGAATCTTCAGAAACATTTGCTGTATTTATTCGAATAAATTATAGCTCTGTAGTTGTACAAATTAATCGTAGAATATAAATTATTCCATGTTTTCATTTCGCACTTCGAAAAAGATAGTACTAAGCTGTATTTTTGAGCTGGTTAAGGTTTTGAAGGAACCGAAACAATTCAGTAACAATTCCCCAAATATCTGTCAAAAATATCCATCAGTGATAATTATGATGTAATGAGTTTATGTGTATTGCAAGTATGCTATTTAATATGTAACGTGTAACCGATATTAACATAACAGTGATGACCAATAAATTGTTATTGCGTTATTTTTAATAGTGCCCAGTATTATTATAAACACTCTGATTGCGAATATGATTTTTGACATAATATTAATGTTTCACAAGTATAAAAGCAAGATACAGCTCTGCATGAGCCTCAGTCATCCTGGACTCTTTAAGGGATGAATGGGGGAATGAAGAGCTCGTGGCCAAAGTTGGACAGCGCGATAGCGAAGCAGCCATACAGGGTGTCCCAAAAATGTTGTAACACCTTGAAAGGGGTGGTTCGGGAGGTGATTTGAAACAACTTTTTTCCTTAGCAAAAATGTTGTCCGAGGCTTCGTTGAGGAGATATTAAAGGAAAACACTGACCAATCAGAGCGCGCGAATACCGTTGGAGCGGCTGCGGTAGCGAAGGCTACGAACTAAACGGCCACGCTCGTACGCGAACAAGTGTCTCGACGTACATCGAAGCCCGAAGGACATTGACGCGGCCGCTTAGCTTGTAGCCTTCGTTACCGCGGCCGCTCCAGCGGTATACGCGCGCTCTGATTGGTCGGCGTTTTTTGTTAATATCTCCTCAACGAAGCCTCGGACAACATTTTCGCTAAGGAAAAAGTTGTTTCAAATCATCCGGATTATAGGACAATACGGTAGGATAGTATCGATAATTTGCCGCAGAGGTGTAGCACCATATTAACTATAAAACTAACTTCCGCTACATGGTACATAGGTATATACATGCTAGGCATTTGGAACGCGTACAGCAGTGTATAGAGTTCAACTGTGTGGTAGTCGAAGAAGACGTGAACCCGAAGAGGGAGTTCGTAGGAAGCAGAATTGTTATCTGTGAGAAAAAACGAACATGTACTGTGTACTTAAAGGGCTATTATTATATTGACGAAAGAAAAGAAGAATGTTTATTTCACACAACAAATAATTGTGGAAATGCCACTTTGTGCTTTAAGAGGAGGAACCACATTAGTTTCTTTACAGAGAAGAATTTATGTAAAGCTTTCTTAATTTTTACAATATTCTAAGTACAATATCCTAAATACAAGAAATTTTTTAAATTCTATTGAATACTTCTTTACTTAATTCTTTGAATACTTAAACGAAGATAATATGATCACTCCACTTCGATAAAAATAAATTTATCACAAAATAGCTTTTCACGTGTATTAAAATTGATGGGAATATATACTTGAGAACAATCATTCTAACACGTTCTAAATGTATTTACGTGTTCAGTTTTTGGACTGTTTTGGACGTCTTTACAGAACCTTAGATAATTATGCGTCAACCTAATGCATTCATGAACAATTAAAAAATACCTTTATTAGAAGAAGCGAGATGTTCTATCAAAGATTGAGACTTAAGATTATCGTGGTGCATTTGCCGAAGTTAAAGGAGATCGTGTTGTAGTTGAGGTACAACTGCTTCTCCTCGTCGTTCTCGAACGACGCGCCAACGGTCGAGTGATCTACATTACCGACAGAGCAATCTGCACTATCGACCGGCCGATCTATATTACCGACAGAGCCATTTACATTACCAACAGAGCAAGCTGCATTACCGACCGGCCTATCTACATTACCGACAGAGCAATCGGCATTACCGGCCGGCCGATCTATATTACCGGCCGGCCGATCTATATTACCGACAGAGCCATCTACATTAC